TGACTCCTGCTGGACTGTGCCCACGTCTGGCACCCACAGTTCAAGAAGGATGTTGTTAAACTGAAGAGGGTTCAGAGAAGAGCCATCAGAATGATGAAAAGATTGGAAATCCTAATAGTGATGGAGCCGAAGAGCTCCATCTCTTTAGCTGAACAAAAGGGTGATTTTTATTGTAGTCTGTAAATGCCAACATGGGAACAAAGATTTGAAAATGGGTTCTTCAGTCTAGCAGATAAAGGTCTAACATGATGTAATGGCTGAAAGTTGAGGCTAGACAAATTCAGATTGGAAATAAAGCATATGGTTTTAACAGTAAGAGTAATTAACCAATGGAACAATTTACCAAGAGTTGTGGGAGATTCTTCATCCCTGGCAATTTTTAACTCAAGATTGTTTATGCTCCTGGAATTATTTCGGGGGAAGTTCTATGACTAGATGATCAGAATGATCCCTTCTGGCCTTGGAATCTGTGAATCTAGTGTAGACTTGGACTTAGGCATTTCAACAAGTGACTTCGTTTTCAAAAGTGCTGAGCACACAGCAGCTCCTACTGGAATCAAAAGTAGCTGATGGGAAACTGGTGCTTTGAAAAATGGAGTCATGTATTGAGGATCCTAGTATTAGGCTCCTGTTTTTCAAAGTTTCAACCTTTGACCGTATTTAGTATTCAATATTTTCTGTAAACTAAAAAGTATGAGGGCAAAACTTAAATATCTGCATGAGTGTCCAATGTTCTTGATGCTACAGGTGAAAAATGTGTTTTAGCATAACAAAAAATTTGAAAGATGCTTAGATATTGAAATAGCTTGTCCATGGTTCCTAAATAAACAGGAAACTGAAACGTCTGTTAAGATACAACTGAAAGTTAATTGATCTTTACTAAAGGCATAAAGGGCCTCATCCAAAGCCTACTGACTTCAATAAAAATCTTTCTTTTGACTTTAATGAGCTTTGCATTGAGTTCAGACTGATTTATTAATTGGTACTCTAGGATAGCACAAGTTTTGCGTGCTGTCATGCATATTCTGCTGAGTGGTGGTAAAGTGTTAGGAACAGGTACTTAACCTTAGGAAACAAAGTAGACTGAATTGTATTGTTCCCATAAAAATTTGTTTTTATAATAAGCCTTCATAGATTGCCTACTTTTTCTCAAGGACCAGTGGAGTAATAAAACTTTTCCGTGTTCCAGATAATAAATATTGTAATTTATGTGTGTTACCGTAGTGCTTAGGAGCCCCAGACATGGACCAGGACTCCACTGTGTTAAGTGCTGAGCAAATACAGTAACTCCTCACTTAGTCGTCCCAGCTAACGTTGTTACGTTGCTGATCAGTTAGAGAACATGCTCATTTAAAGTTGCACAATGCTTCCTTATAATGTTGTTTGGCAGCCGCCTGCTTTGTTCACTGCTTGCAGAAAGAGCAGCCTGTTGGAGCTCGCTGGTGGGGGCTTGGAACCGATGGACCAGCAGCCTCACTATTAGCTCCCCTAAGTTCCCTGTGCGGCAGCTGCCCAGCAGGCTACCAATTGCTGGCAGTTCAGCTGTCCCTCCCCCCCACCTGCTGTGTGCTGCTTCTGCCCTCTGCCTTGGAGCTGCTCCCAGGAGCCTCCTGCTTGCTGTGTGTTGTGGGGGGAGGGAGAGTCCTAATGTCGGGGTGTCCCCCTCCCCATGCTCCTGCCCCACGCTCCAACCGGGGAGGGGAGAGACGACAACATGACAGGGCTCAGAACGGAGGATGGAGGGAGCTTGCTGGCAGTTCATCATTTAGCAGTAAGGCATTCCCCACCCTCTGACTCCACCAGCTCAACCAGGCTTCACAATCATCATTGCTGTGTACAGTATTACATTGTTTGTTTAAAACTTAGTGTGTGTGTGTGTGTGTGTGTCCGTCCACACACAGTCTTTTGTCTGGTGAAAAAAATTTCCCTGGAACCTAACCCCCCCATTTACATTAATTCTTATGGGGAAATTGGATTCACTTAACATCGTTTCACTTAAAGTAACATTTTCCAGGAACATAACCACAACGTTAAGCAAGGAGTTACTGTACAGAATGAAAGATGGTCCCTGCCCAAAGAGCTTGCAGTCCAAGTATGACAGGAAAGCTATGAGCACAGCCTACTGTTATCCCTCTTACAGGTTTTATTAAGCCAATGGTTCTCAAACTTTTGTATTGGTGACCCCTTTCACGCAGCAAGCCTATGAGTGTGACCCCCTTATAAGTTTAAAAAAAACCCACACATTTTTAAATATTTAACACTATTATAAATGCTGGAGGCGAAGCAAGGTTTGGGGTGGAGACTGCAGCTCTCGACCCCCACAAGTTATACCTTGTAACCCCCTGAGGAGTCACGACCCCCAGTTTGAGAACCCCTGTATTAAGCTTACTAGATTGCAGAAAAATAATATATTTGGGTATTTAGAAGCTATATACAGCCAAAAAAACCATGAATGAATAGAAAGACTGATTTGAGTGTTCTGCTTTCTTGGTAGATATGCAATATGATGAAGATGATGATGAAATCACTCCAGATTTATGGCAAGAAGCATGCTGGATAGTTATTAGGTAACTTTATCGAACTTTCTAAGAAATGTTAAGACTAGTGAAGTAATCAGGCAAGTGTACCCTTAGCTAAAACAGCATATAATATTTATTAGTATTAGATAACTTATTTCAGAGTAGCAGCCGTGTTAGTCTGTATCCGCAAAAAGAAGAACAGGAGTACTTGTGACTCATCGAAAGAAGTGGGCTGTAGTCCACGAAAGCTTATGCTCTAATAAATTTGTTAGTCTCTAAGGTGCCACAAGTACTCCTGTTCTTCTTTTTGCAGATAACTTATTGTGATGGAAATTCCAAGATTTCATGTCCAAAATCATAAATCCTTTCTCTTTAAGAATGAAAGAACTGTTACAAAGAGAGA